TCGGGAGAACATGCGACAGGGTGACAACTCAAGAAGCACAACTGGGAGGCAGGGACAGGACATTGTGCCACCCTAAAACAGGAAGTTTCTGAACAAGGACATTCATTGTTTATGATACACAGGGGGGAATTTATCAAAAAAACTGGAGCAGATTTGCACTGCGGCCAATCAGCATCTCTCTTTCATTTTCAAATCTTACCTGAGCAAACTGAAGAGAGATGCTGATTGGTTGCCATGGGCATCTTCTCCAGATTATGTTTGCTCCAGTTTTGATAAATTCCTCCCACAGTGTTTTATGAAATTTAAAAATGACATCTAATTAAGGTTTATATCTACCTCTAGGGCCATCAAAGCCCTTACAAAGACTCAGTGTACAAATTCCATGCAGATGTGTTCCAAGTCAGATTTGACCAGAGGCTGGACCTTAGCTCTGCAAGCAACAAGGCAGCTGATCAGGACTTGTGATGAGTGTATGGTCCCATGACACGGCAACAGCATGCAGAACGCAAAACCGATACCTTCATTGTGAATCAGTAAACAATTTTGGGTAGATATTTACATGCCTGTGAAAAGTCCAATTGTTGAGAACCCAGATGCCGGAGCTCATAAACAGAGCACATTGCACCGTGGTTGGGGTGAACAGAGGTCAATGAAAGTTACAAATGTCCCTAAAAAGTGTCTTATTCTATTCAGGTTGTTCCCGGAACAGATGGTGAGGGGAAATATTCCAATGGGGACATCTGCCCTCAGTTTGGAGAGCTTTCCTTTCACTTCCTTTTGTGTCTGCAGGGCAGGAAGCAAAGTGAAATCTCCCCAAATGGGCACAGCAAATTAAAATTATATATTTATATATATATATATTTTACACACACACACACACACACACACACACATATATATATACACATATATACATATACACACACACACTATAAGTTGCTCTGTTTATAAATCATACAAAAATTCAACTTCTGGTACAAATTATTGCAAAGATATTCAAGAGAAAAGAGAAATTAAGTTTAAATATTACTGGTTAAAATTATGGTGGTTGAAAAATTAGAAAAAAACTAAATAAATACGGCAGGAAAACAATAGTCATGGGGAGTAGGGGAAGAAAGGAGCTAAGGGAAATCTAAGGGTTAATAACGGTATTTAAAATAGGATGGATGAATGATTACAGAGCTGCATTAATTTGTATCTTGTGTCTCCATCGAAGTTGAACTGAAGTCTGCAAATACTCCCCTCTGCTCCGGGTGCAGGGTCCGTGGCCGCCGCGGTGGGCCGACGTGGATGATGCAACTTCAGTGTATGGGCAATGCACAGCGGGCAGGTCAGTTTGTTTTATTGCAAAAGAGCCTGACAATAATTTTTTACTTTTTAACTTCAGTTCTGCTTCAAGTTCAGGTTTAAGTCGTTTTTTGTTCTTATTGTATCCACAAAAGGAAATAAATGAGGAAAAAAAAATAAAAATCCCCATTCACGTGCATCTGCGTTAGCAGTCATTAAGTCTCGATTCGGAGAAAGGGAATGAAAAACCACTAATCTGCCTCCTGCACAGCTCCAATTCCCACTCATTTCTGGGAAATGGGTATTATCGACTTTGCAAATGCTATAAAAAGATTATTAATGGGTTTAAATTTCAGCGGATGGATTCAGTTTGGCGTTCTATGATTTTCTTCCAGGAACCGGCTCAGGCTCCTTATTACGGAGCACAATACACTCCGCTCTGTATCACATAAACAGCTGATGGGAGAATGAAAAAATGACAAGTGTTCTTCCATCCCCTGCACAGCAATAATCACAGACCTATGTAGCTCATGTGAAGCACGTTTACAATGCTTTAAATTAGAATATATAATTATATATATATATATATATATAATCTCTGCAATATGAGCCAGCATGTCAACGTGAACCCGGACGTCCTGCCTATGGGACAGATGCCACAAGATGCCCGCTATTACATTTATTTAGCAAGAAAGCCTCTTCTGTGCCATTCTCTGACTTAGTTTCATGTTGTTACTAGGACCTCATTTTATGACTAGGCCATCATAAAATCCATTCCACTCTCCAATGAGATTGCCTCAGTGGTCATTAAAGGGACCCTGAACTTTGGAAGCAGTGTCCAAAAAAAGGCAGTTAAAGGGCAAAGAACTGGTCACCAGTATTACCTGTGGTCTCCCTGCAACTGATCTTTTCCCTATTACTGACTGTCATGCCTTGCTCTGCAATGTGTCTGTCTGGAGGTGGCTATCTTGCTAGGCAGGGTTATGCTGCCTTCAGCAAGGAGAACAGTGAGCAGCACAGTAGGGACATCACCAAATCTCAGGATCTAATGAGAGATGGAAAGATATTTAAAAAAAAGGTAAAGGAAGCACAGATCCACACAATGAATGAAGCAGAGAGATCCGGGCACTGCAAGTCGTTAGTGGCACAGTAGTGACATCACCAAATCTGGTGAGACTCGCAATGAGAGGCAACAATGCCTTAGATCACGTGTCAAACTCAAGGCCCAGGGGCCGAATCTGGCCCACCAGGCCATTTCCTAGACTTCTACTTTCAGATCTAGGTATCAAGTTATTACTAAAACCAGTGAAATTGAATGCAGAGGCAATTATGATAAAGATTAGATACATTTATATAGTCTTACAGGCCCTTTGAGGGCAACCATAATGTTGATGCGGCCCACGATTAAAATAGAGTTTGACACTCCTGCCTTAGATGATCTCGCACTGCAGATATACAGCTATGAGGCACAGGAAGGATGTAAAGAAACAAGGTACTGTTAAGGCACAATTACCATTTCTAGATGTTCCCTATAACATAGCATATCTTGACTTTTTGACTTCAGGTTTAAATCAAGATGGAAAAAAAAAGTCTTCCCAGTTGCTGGTAAGTTGCCCTTGGCACGCCACAGTGTGCCATGGGCTCCTCAAGAAAATTATATTTTTTTTCAGAGGCAGTTATGTTATGTGTCCATTTAGAAATCGAACCCAAGACTCTGTTAATACATCTCTTACAGAGCTCCCCAGTGGCCAAGTAAAACAATCTCTTCTTTCTCTCAATGAGTTAAAACAATTTGCTGGAACAATACAGATTCCTTTAAGCGCCCGCTGGAAACAAAGCCCCTCACTTTCCCCTTTTTTTGAAGCGGCGTGACATTTTCCGAGTGCTGGGCTTTGAACTCTATTGTTTTCCAATCCCGGGATTGACGAGATAATACAGAGAGATCCCTGTCTGGATCTCACCCAAACCCAACTTGCAGCCCCGCAGAGAGCACCTAACCTGGGCTCGACCCACGCTAGCCAAGCAAAGGGCAGGGAGGGACAAACAGATGCAGCGAGTGATATTACTCCCCTGGTACCCAAATACATCACCGCCTGGAGAAAATACTTTCCGTGTTATTCGCTGTCCTTTATTTAGTGTCCCTTTATGCTCTAATCGGCACACCGAAAATCACTTTTTTTTAATTTTGGATAAAGCAGGAGGACTAAAACCCATGATGGTCTATTCTTTTTTCCCATTTTTTTCCCTTCACTTTCTGCCTCAGAGAAGCAACAGAAAGCTAGAGAAAATCTCCCAAATCTCCCTCTTAGACAAGTGACCCCATCGGAAGATTTCACCTTATCGTTATTTCTGCAGACAACTCTAAAGTGTTGGATTTTCACATATTTTTCTTTCTCCATGACAACGGTCATCAGCACAAACCATTGGGAGAGTCTTCCCAAAGGGGGTGCAGACAGCTATAAAAACCCAACAGAAGGTTTAACCCTTCCCCACACTATCTAAAAACAAAGAGTTTTGCCTCAGTACATTTAAAGTGATATTAAACCCTCAGATTTTTTAACATAAACCAATACTGTAATGTGCGCTTTACTGTAATCCATGGTAGTTTCCCTTCTCTTTGCTGCTCTTCCTTTTAAATCCTCATGTCTTCTCATGCTGGGGGAGAACTTCCCTTTGCAGCCGAGTGCCTCTTCCTGTAGTGCTGGCTCAGGTTGCAAACCTACACACAGACACCATGTATCCATTCCAGAGACAAGGCAGTCTGCTGCAAAACAGAAGTTCTGCCCAGCATGAGAACAGATACAGATTTAAAAGGAAGAGCAGCAAAGAGAAGGGAAACAACCATGGATTACAGTAAGGCGCACATTACAGTATTGTTTTATGTTACAAAATCTGAGGGTTTAATGTCACTTTAAGCAAAGTATTTTTTGTAAATCTATTGCAAAATGTTCTCCCCATCCCCCATGTATCGGTGCTTCGACCTGGGCGGCCTAACGGGAAATATGCAAAGTGAAAGGGTCTCTTTCAGCAGAGATATTCCAATGAGCCACTGAGAGCTGGGGTCCAATTTCTACACATAGTTCCCTTTAAAAAAAATATGGAAAACAAATCATTGAAAAATAATTTTAAAGGAAACACGGCAATAATAACTCAAAGTAGGCGCTTACTAAAAGTACAATATCCTTTACCTAACAGTAAGCGTCAAGCTGAACTCTGGGCACTGAAACTTTCAATTAAATACATTCCTCAATAGCCACAAAGGATATCCTGTAAATCCACTTTGTATACACCAAATGCCTTTACAAACCCAGATATCACCTTGCAACAAAGTAACAGTACATCATCAATGTGCTTTACATAGCCTGTGCAGAGCAGAGCTGTGGGAGGGACCCAGCAGGCCCCACCCACTACTGGAAACTACAGGAGTGGGCGGAAACAAGACTAGTCACTCTGCACAAGGAGTGAGAGCAGCAGTAACCGGTCTTTATTACAGGAGGGGGTGGAGACAAGACCAGTCACCCTGCACAAGAAGAGAGCAGCAGTGAGTGGTCTGTATTACAAGTTTCAAACTGTAGATCTGCTTTCACACAAAAAATTTGCCAACATCGAAAAGAACTCAGAGAGGCGACTCAAAATTAACAATGCAACCACTTGGGACATGGTCAAGCTGCATCTACTACAAGTATAAATATGGAGAGTGTTTGGTGACTTACCTGTACAGCAACGGGATCTGAGGGGTCCACAGCCACTGCCTGGCTGGACGTAGTGTCAATGACAAGGTAGCTGTAGTTATCGGATAGGACGGGGATGGGAACCACTTTCACACCTTAAGAAAAAAAGACAGAATATAGAGATTACATTAATTATTCATGGTCTCGCAATGAAAGTGCCCCTGTCATTTTAGTAGAAACAAGATAGACAATGAGCTTGAATTTAGTATTCATGAATGTATTAGGTTAGTTTAAATTGGGTGATGCTTGGCCCCTGCACTTGTACCAATTAAGCCCAAATAAGCCCCCACCCAACCATACATTGTATATACTGCTCATATGGTCTAGAGGTGCCTTGACTGAGTGCAGTACTTGCCTTACTCCATGGTACCTCAGGCTCCCTCCTCCACGTTAAGCAATCGGATCCCTGACGCTACCCCTCCTTAACAGTCATGCGGCTGCCCCTCCTCACTGATGTCATCATGCACAATGCCAAAACAGCAAACCTACATTGGAAGTGGTGACATCAAAAGGCATGCCCACACCCAATGAATATTTTATGTGGCACAAAGTTGGGCTTTAAAACATTTACCCAGATGGAATCCCATCACTTCTTTACGAGAGTCTGGGGGCAATGAGCAGAAGGGGTCTACTTCACTGAGTGAACTATGGGAGCAACAGGCTCCATTTTCATGTGGATGTAGACGTTACGCCCTACCTGCACACTTGGGGTGAGGGAGCAGTTGGGGTTTTCATCGCCCCCTCAACACAGACACTTCTTCTTGGGCTTCAGCCATCCGAAAGAGCCCCCTGCTCCAACCAGCATCAGGCACCAGTACATTGAAAGCGCCACCATTTTTAGGGGAAACCCTTTCAAGGCAGCCCCCCCTAGTTTTGAAGGACATCCAGACCTCTTGCCATTGGAGAAACATTGCCATTGGAGAAACATAAGGAGGATTTAGGTACAGTGAGCCAGGCTTTAGACTGTTTCGCTTTTGGTAACTTTCCATTTCAATATTTGCATAGAAGGTTTCCAGAGACAGATACAAGGAAGGCAATACAGGAAAGCCAATGCCAAATGTTCAGACTCTGCCATGTTGTCCAATTAGAATTCCACAGCCCATGGCACGTTACCAAAAAGCAGAATTTCAACATCTAATGTTGACTTTGGGAGAGGGGTTGACAGTGCAGCTTATATACAGTAGATGGAGAGATTACATACCGGCAGTGTTATACTGCATAAAGGGTTCAATGGAGAGGACTCGCAAAAAAAAAAAATGAGAAAGAAAAAGATTTAAATGAAAAGGGAGTTTGTTTAACGTTATTAATCTGCGTCAGGAGTCATAAGAAGAAAGGGGGAGGTAAAAAAAAGGTTTAGTAGAAGCAATAAGAAACTGGTTTTGTTCCACATAGAACAGAAGTCAATAGGGAAGGGCCTCCGGAGAGGGGGTTGGGAAGGGGGAAGAGGAATACTTTATACTTCAGTTTTATCTCGGAAATAGGTTTAAGCGTATCTGAAGCCAACACTTTACCAAAACTCTTTTTTTTTTTTTTAAAGTGGGGAAGGCTTAGACCAGTAGTGGCCAACGTTTGGCTCCTGACATGGCCAGAGAGCTACAAGAGATGGTCAGAGACCACAGGCATGCTACAAGAGATGGTCAGAGACCACAGGCATGCTACAAGAGATGGTCAGAGACCACAGGCATGCTACAAGAGATGGGTTACATAGTTACATAGTATTTGAGGTTGAATAAAGACACAGGTCCATCACGTTCAACCCTTGTGTGTATGTATGCGATTCTGCATGTGTGTGTACGAGTCCCTGTGTGATCTTGTTTTTAAGGGTACCTGTACCCCTTTATGCTATGGTCTCTGAGGAAGTTGTCTAAATACTTTTTGAATGATTCCATAGCCGATACCACTGTTTGTGGCAGAGAGTTCCAGACCCTAACCACTCTAACTGAGAAGAAGCCCCTACGGCCCTTGTGATTAAATCTTTTCTTCACCAATTTTAGGTGGTGGCCTCTAGTCTGTGTTATGGAGTTTACTGTAAAAAGTATTGAATATTTTATATTTAGCAGATTATTCAAAGATTCTTCTTTAAAAACGGTATTTTGTTTTTAGTCCTGACCATGTTAAAATAAATAAAACCTCTTTACATAAGAGATAAAGTTTATCAACTTTCTTCTTCCTCGTTTTGTACATAAAGCAGAAGTGGTCATTAATCTTAATCTGCAGTGTAAGTAAAATCAGTGTAGCTCCCACAGCCTCGTCAGGGGGGGTCACAGGGTAGATAGTGGAAAATATGCAATGAGAGTGTGAAGTTATATAGACGACGTTCTGGACACAGACATGATCATCTTCTGCAGTCACATGACATCCATCATCTGGGATATTGGGGGGGGGAAATACATCACTGCTGGTGAGAGTGAAAGGCCAGTGAAAGCCTAAACTGAGTTTAGAAAATGGAGGCATCAATCTGGAAGGAAAGCGATGGACCTCCAGTTTTTTAGATCTCTTTTAATAAATCTCTGTACCCGAGTTCCCAAATCCACCCACCTGCTGCAGTCAAAAGGGACACACTTTTCCCTATTGAATTTATAAAGCATACAAGAGGAATAAATCTCTGTTTGGGATGGAGAAAGTTTTTTTTGGTTGGGTCACAGCACCCGGGGTTCCCAAAACATTTAAAATGTGAAAATTTAGTCCCAGCTGTGTTTACCCTTAAAGGCATAGTCCACTTATTAAATCATGCTTCATGTTACACCCTTATGTAGGGTATACCATGAAGCATGCTTGCATACACACTAAACCCAAACCGATCCCTTCTTACCTAAAATCACAGGGCGTTTCTTAATGTAGATGGTTGTTATTGTTTGTATTCAGCACAGCTGTGTAGTCCATTCACCAAGATTAATTAAATGAAAATACTACATGTCCCACCTCCCACCAAAGAGCATGCTGCCAACAGAGTGAAAACGTCAGTGCAGTTGTAGTCCATTCAGCACTGGCTCCAGCTCCATAACACAAAGGCGTGTACCACTGTAAGGACCTCGGACTGGGGGCCTTTGCATTGCACTTATGATACATTGATTGGAGGTGTACTGCACTGCAGGCCTCAAAGTATACACAATTTTTATTTCATCACTGCTGGTTCATTTACAAAACATTTCCAAAAAGCAGACTGTGCCTTTAAACTGGACCTGAACTCAAAAAAGGAAAGATTTGCTATGTTATCGGGAAAATCTAGAAAGTTTAATTGTGTATAAGCAATACCCAGAAATATTTACCTTTTGTCTGGAATGCTTGAAAAATAGCAGTACATTTCCTGGTATGCAAGCAGGCCTAGGCACACCTGGCCTACAACCCCATAGCCAGGGCCGGATTTCCCACAAGGCCAACCAAGGCCCGGCCTCGGGGCAGCAGGGGTGTGGAATTCCTATCTCCCGATGCCCAGGACATGCAGTTCCAGGCGCCAGGCGGGTAGTTTTCTACATTTGGCTCTGCTTTGTGAAAATGAACCTGGCCTTGGGGCAGCAGAGAGTAAATCTGGCCCTGCTCATAAAACGTGCAGTATATCTGCCCTGTAAGATCTAAGGCGCTGCGGCCTCTGTCTGCCAGTCTCACCATATTTTGGAGTGAGATTTGGTAACTAACATCACTATTGTTCTGCTCACTGTCCTGGAGAGGAAGCTGTACCTGGCAGAAAAAGACAAGAGGAGTGTTCAGTTGCTTAGCCGCTGCAAGTGCGGAGTTAGCAAAACACCGCCGCTGAACATTGTGCTGCAAGTCAGCGCTCAGCACTAACTTAGCAATTGCAGGGGGAGTGAATGTGGATGCAGTGCTCAGAGTATGACAGAGAAGGTGGGGAAAGAGCACCAGCTGCCATTTTAACTGTGGGCACACCTGGCCTCACTGGAGAAAGGTGCCTGAACCCCGATGAAGGAAATCAATGCAGTGTGGGATTCTACAAATTTAATGTTTTAGTGGACGAGCACACCAAATATGATAATAAACAGTATTTATCAGTCAAAAATATTATCCTCCGCCATTTTGCTTAGCACTGTGCTGCCGAAACGCTCAGTGAAGCTGCTGCAGTGAACTGAAGTGCTGCAGAATTGCTACTTGGCCCTTGGCTAAGGAACTGAACACACCTCTGGTAAGTCAGTAATAGGGAAAAGATTAGCTGCAGGGAGGTCATAGGCAATACCGGTGACTATTCATTTGTCCTCTTTCTGCCTTCTTTTTGGGCAGAGCCGAGTTCAGTCCCAGCAATAATTGAGATTTTAGATCCTTGTAGAGTCCATGGATTCAAGCATCTGTAGGCTTCTTATATGCATTGCAGTCTTTATTCACAAGACCTCCTTGCTACAGTCCTTGGTTTTGTGATGCAGATGGTCATCAAAAAATGTCACCATGGACCCAAAGTCCGCTTTGAGCTGTATGGCTCCAACATGAGAGCCCAATGATGCTAAAATGAACATGCAACAGTAAATGTTGGTGCTACACACACACACCTTTCAAATTACTACACCCCCGAGATAAGCCTTTGGCTGTCTGTATGAAGCATCTAATAAAATGTTACAATTTAAAAAACTTCTAATTGGCCGCCCGAGGCTTCCGCATTCTTTACTTTTTCTTCATATTAAATAAGCTGTGGACAGAATGAATGATAAAGTTTTCTTGTTCCAAGTGCTGTGTGTCCTTATCTATGATCATTATCTTGCATTTTAGTTAATCATCAGCCACGGAAAACTCTCCAGTTTCCAAAAAAACAAAATGACATTGTTTCAAATGCAAATGTTTGCCTCCTACTTGTACATGACTGGCACTGCGGAACCCCACACAATGCACATTCACATCTCGATTGTTTACCCCGTACACGTTGCCCGCTCGGCTGTCCACAGATCTCACAGTTAGAACTTTTGCAATGTAAACATGACTCCACATTTTTAAGGCTTCCGCTGTGAGTATGACTAACGGCTTACCAGAGCCAAAGACTCTGAAAGCCTCCTTTTTATAATTGTACAGCGCTAAAGGGAACCGTGCAGGCTATTCTCTCTGCAATTATATTTCTAAATCCTCAGAAGCCAAACTGCAAAGGCTTTTCAGAAATATAATTGGGTTTATATTATGTGAGCAGATTAAAGGATCAGTACATGTTTAAACAAAAGTATAATTATCCCTTTTGCCCCCTTCCCCAGACCAAGACTGGCCATACACTGATCTTTTGAGGAAAAAACCCCCAAACACTCAATTCCCCCATTCACGCTGTTGAATCCCCACCGCTGGGCCTAAAAATTCAGACCGGCTCTTTCGACAAAAGTAAATTGCAAAAGAAGGGGGCCAACTGGGCCACATACTGGTTGGATTTTGAATGAGGATTTGGCCAAAATTTTACCAGTGTATGGTCAACTTAACTCATCCCCCCCCCCCTAACAAAGACCCATACATACCTTGATCTGA